CGGTCCCCATAATTGGAGAGAGGACCCCTGGTTGGTAAGGACTTTGTAGATCATCTTCAGCTGTTCAAAGAACTGTGTGTCCCCTAAAATCAGCGTGGGGTTCCTTGTGCTAACAGAAGGGCATGTCACGTGGCTGCCTGGAGAGTAGTAGCTGTCTGTCACGGGGCTGTTTCTATAGTGCTCAGTCAGCATTCCTGGGTCTTGAACAAATCAACAGAAATTATCAAAAAGGTACAGCTCATGTTGATCAAACCTTTAGGGGGCTAATATTTTAAATATTATTTTCCCAACTGTATTGGATGATTTGATTTTTAAAAATATTATTTCTGCCTGTAAACCGTCTCTCAACCATATTACATGCAAATATGCTCTGCTCTAAGAATATCAGAGGGGTTAGGAACAATTTCTCTCTAAGGTCATATATTGCTATGGTCAGATATGGTGGCATCTTGGCGTGTCAATGTTAGTATTTTTCTTACATCAGGAGTATACTTTTGTAGTGCATTACACAATTGCTCTGATTTACTGCACTTGATTTGCCTTGTGGAGTGGTCTTGGAGTGCACAAATTGGTTTCCTTGTGGATGATGCAAAGCAAGGAAATGTGCTCCAGGAATGCTCCTCCTGAATTCCAGCTGTTGATGGGTGTTCAGTTCACCCAACAGGGTTAGAGCAAGTCTGAAGGAAAACTCCAGAGTTGTGAATGAGGTTGATGTGAAGCTATCAACACCAACTCTTTTACTCTGCTGATGCAGAGCATCCTGCAGAGCAGCATTTGCTGTTATGTCCATCGATTACTGAACCACAGTTTATGAAATGCAGTGAAGAGTTAATCTGATGTTCTTTAACACCATTAAAGAATGATTTCTTTAAGGGAATGATTAAAATGCCTGGCGCCATATAGGAAAAACTCATGCATTCCAGGTCTGCAGTTTAAACTTTTATGTTCATATTTGTGCTTTATGACTGCTTGTTGAAATAGCTTTCTTAATTAGGAAGAGATATTTTTTTAAAAATGAATTTAAAAAAAAAATTTTATCCTTGGTAGCAGTATAAAATCTGAGAACACGATCCAAGTTCCCAACTAAACTCAACTTTGAAATTGCTGTCAGCAGAAATGATCACTGAGGTCACCAGGATAGTTACCTGTGTATGGATAAATTAATTTGAAACTCTTTGAAGAGCTTTTAATGGGATGCAGATACTCCAGTATACTGGTACATTTACTATGCCATCATTTTTAAAATTGCAGTGACTTAGCAGAAGAAGGGAATTCTGTAAAAGTCACCCCAGAAGATCAGTTATTATCACACATTACCTAGTTTCTTTAAAAGATTTTAAGTACAGAGCTGCACAGGATCACACTGACTGTGCTGCCAAATCTGTTCTTTTTGAAATCAATGGCCATGATCTTCTTGGCTGCTACGGGAGCAAAAATGTTGCCGTGGCACTCTAGTATTCTTTTGCAGCTGAACCTACCAACCTACAGCATCAGCTCAAAGTGACCAGTGAATGCTGAAAAAAACCCCACCCCATATCTGTTATGGGCAAGTTGTGACTCTCTCAGCGGCTAATTGTTCTTGTAGTCTTTATGTAAACCCCGTGAATCTGTTACCATGTTGTGTCAGCAAAACTATTTTATGAAGAAACTCTGACTCCATTTCCTGGAGATAAGAGCTGATTATTACTGCAAGAGATGGTTAACCCCATTTGGATACATAAGCAGTTTAAAATATTAACGTTAGTGAGTGATGTGAATTGAGTCTATGATTTTGTCTAGTCAAAGAGCAGAAGCAAGTATGCAAAGTTTAACATACTTCTACTTTGCTTAGAATAGATTTTTTTTTTTTTTAATACTAAGATATTCTGACAGGCAGATGCAATCGTCTGATATGTATTATTTTTCATATAGCTATTTTCCTTCATAATTTTATTCCTTTTGAGATAGGTCTGTCACACTGGCTCATTCATTCCCTTATATTTAATTTCTGTGAAACATAATAATTACAGTTGTAAGTGGAACTATTTTTAAGCCTGAATGTATTAAACTACAGATCTATATACTGTAAAATATTAATGGAAACCCCTCATCCACAAACTTAACCTTCCTGAAAGAAGCTGGCAGTACAGTTGCTATGGATTACTTAAGACCATAATTCCAAAAAAATGTGCTAACTTTTCTAGCAACAGAATAAAGTTCCTGTTCTCAAGCTTTTTTATGCTTGGGTCATCAAGAAAATAAATAAGTAAAAGAAAATATAAGAAAATAATAAGTAAAGCTTTTTGATTTGAAATCAATAATAACATTGCAAACAATTTTAATCCTGTGCAAACCTTAGTTGACTTCAAAGGACAGACAGAAATGAAATATTTGCCAATATTATAATTTTTACAAGATGTTTTGTAGAAATACTGGGTGGACTTTCTAGGCTGAGACTAATAATAGGCTCATTTTGTCACTTCCCATTAAGAATTAATATTGTTCTTTTTAAAAAAATGTTAATATCTTTATCATGAACTGCTCCCACTTCTTATTGTCATGCACTGTAAGCCTTATCTCTGGGGTTGAGCAAAGAGCAAAGGTAGAGCCTCATTTTGGAGTGAAACCCAGAGATAAAACAGCAAGGAGGCTTCTGAAAGGCTTCACTTGATTGTAATCTAATTATAGGGTTATTTAACTGTTACTACTCACAAGCATGACTGCTGCGTTGGAAATTGTTGGTTTTCTTTTGTGCTTGGGTGGGTGGGCAATTGTTGGAGCTACTTTGCCGAATAATTACTGGAAAGTCTCCAGTATATATGGTAGTGTGATCACAACATCTACGTTGTTTGAAAACCTGTGGAAGAGCTGTGCAGAAGACAGCACTGGAGTGTCCAACTGCAGAGAATTTGACTCTATGCTTGCTCTGCCTGGTATGTGACTTTGCACAGTCTTGTTTATATTGCTTTAAAATTTGTTGGAAAAAAGTAGAAAGGCTTTTGTTTTAGTAGTCTGGTAGTACTGAAAAATAACTGCTCAAGAAGGACTTTGTGGGTTGAAGTAATAAAAATCTCTTAAGCAGCAGAATGTGTCAAGCACATTAGGAAAGGCTATAAAATAAGGCAAATGAAGTCACTTAAGGATTTATTTTAATAGACATTTTAAATATGGTGTAAACTCTTTTCTAGCATCTTGTGGAAGGAATTAGTATGAGACATTTTTTTAACACATCTTGTGACAATTCCATGTTTATTTGGAATTTTATAGGCCTTCTTTTGCAATACTTGAATAGCTGTACCTAGAGTTTTTTGATATAATAGGTAAATACTCTTTATAGCTAAGAAGTGGTAGTGGTTTTTGCATGTTGAGACTGAAAATCATAGGTAATGTAAGAAATACAGTGAGTGTATCTTATGCGTATAACGTACAATGAGTATGTTATAAATTAATATACTTGTCAGGACTTGTTAACTAGTGTCTTGCTGGATGTGGTTCTAAATATCAGGAAATTTAGAGCTGCTGGCTCCTGTACTCGGTATCAGTCTTCATCAGAATTGTGGATTGTCTTTGAATGATCAACCAAGGCAGTATTCGGTAGGTAGTAAGCATGTCTACAGACAGTAAAGCTAGTTTTTATTAATCTTGAATAATTCTGTACATAGATACTTCTTACAGAATAAAAATGCCTTCCTGCTTAGTTGAATCTACACTGGGAGGTGGCTAAACTAGATAGGTAGGAGGATACTCCTAATCTGAAGAATGTGTAGTATAGTGTTAGCGGGAATGAAATTCACTTTCTCTCTCAATCAGAAATAAACTGATGTTGACCAGTTCTGACACTAGTGTAGCAATTCCCTGAAACTGTCTGTGTCCAGTATTTACAGAATAATCTGCTCTTTTCATCTTTCAGTGTTGTCTAACAATTGGTTTTAAGGTTCATGTGGGTATTAAGAGGAACATAACCCTATTTAAACTTCTTAGGCTCAGCAATATCAGGATCATGTCTGTCAGACGTTATCCTCTGCAGAGTGTGAGTGTACATTTGGTTCATGTATAAACCACCTCATGGTTTGGTTCGTAACTTACTGCCTGCTGACTCCAGGCAGCATCTTGTCATTGATGTATTTATATGGGGTGTTGCCTCTAAGAGTGTCGTAGAGCTCCCATGTGTGCACATGTGGGCAATGGGGCCACATCAGGACAGCACCTTGGAGCTGCTGAGAAAAAAGTGAATTTTAAAGAATTTGGGGGTGGCGGGACAGAAAGAAGAATCGTGAGTAGATGTGCTAAAGCAAAAGAGAAAGGAAGGCAAGCAACAGCAAGGTGCCTGGAGAATTGCACATAACAACATGGAGTCAGCAGGAAGGAAAAAAATGGTATCAGATAGAAGATAAATTGACAGACCAGGCTGTGAAAGTGAATTTGTGAAGATTAAATTTGATCTGTTGAAGAGGAGATCTGTTACACTGTTGAGAAGATGGCATTGTATTTGAGGGGTATAGGCAGGGGGAAGGGGAAGGGAAAAGCAGCTTGCAAAATTGTAGAGGAAAAAAAGGTTTTAGAAAGGAGAACTGACAAAGAAACAAGTTAGAAGACATTGAATTGTAGAAATTGTCAAGAGGACAGTTGGGAAAACCAGGAAAGAGGAAGAAACTGGGTTTGGTAGAACAAGGGCTGAGCAAACAGTGGGACCTCCAAGAAACGTCTGTAGCACGTGCAGATACATGCCAAGGTAGACTAAAAATTATCCTGGTCAGTGTAGGTTGTGTTTCAAATTGCTGTTTAGAAACTTAGCTGAAACTGCTGCAGCAGCAGATGTGAGGGATTGGCAGGAGGGGAAAAAAAAGAAAAAAACAAAAGCGTCTTTGTTACCTCTCCTCAGAAGGACCGCAAAAATTTTCCATGGAAGTTTCCTTATTGGCAGCCGAGCTACGTGGTGTACCTCTGGCTTTTGTTTTGTGCATGGGAAACATCAGACTTGGTTGTTTTAAACAGATTCAAAGGTTTTGAGTTCAGCAAGCCATTAGCCCAAATCACAAATGTTTGAAGACCTTTTTTTATTTAAAAGCAATATTGCATAAGATTGAAACCATGACTAGCTACTATCTATCTATCTAGCACTATCTATCTAGTCACAACTAGATCAAACATTTGATATAAAGCAATTAGTTAGCTGCCAAATACTTTTTAATCTCTTTTTTTTATTCTTCCTTTTAAGGTCCCGTAAGTGTTTCTTTCAATGATGGGATTTTGGGATAATTTCTTAGAATTAGTATTGATTCATAAAATGCACTGACTTTGTATCTTGTTCAGTAAGCTCATTTTTAAGATAAAGACAACAGAAAATGAGCTTTTTGGATTGTGAAGTAAGTTGCTCAAGGCTGTTGAGATTATCATATTGTGGTACAAAGAGGATACAGTATGAGAACTCTTCTGTTAAAATAGTACAGTCATTGGCTTGCAAGCACTTAGCCTGAGGATATGCTTGTGTGTCCTGGGAAGATATGGAGAGTCCCATCTAATACTGCAGGAGTCCCAAAGGCCTGAAATGTAAGTTGTTGGACCCCTGCTGTGGGTAATTCCTGCTGCCATGGTGTAAGATCCCAAACTAGAAAGCACCATTGAAGTTGAGCGCTTGTCCTAACAGTATCTTCTGCAGGCAAAAACCTTGCCCTGTTAATGGTACTTTGAGGGTTTTTATCACTTTTATTACTGCCTGTATTTTTTCCTTGAAAATGTTAAAAATAGTGCTTAGCAAAACATTAATTCCTCAAATGATGTTATCCTTTAATTCTGTGTCTTTGATAACTCTCAGGCTTGCAGGACCAATACACTTAAGCCACATAAGAGTTGTCCCTGTTTCCATGCAGTTGATACCTAAATGTGAAGGCTGGGAGCTGAAGTGCTGCAGAAGGGTCAGCATAGCAGATTCCCTAAATTGTCCAAACCAGCTGTAACCTCTCTGCAGGAGTATGTCGTAGGGAGGAGAGGAGTGCTGCAGCTCTCGGATCTGCTTGACTCCTGGTTGTTACCCTGACTCAGAGTTCAAAGTGTACAGCTAACTCAAGCATATTCTTTCCCATCCCTCACTGGAAGTAGCAAAGCTGGAACATTTTTTCAATTCCTGTGTAGTGCTAGAGCCCCGCACACCTTGGCTGGGACCTGGAGTTTAGAGGTTTCCTGTGCACTCAGCTGTACAGGTGTAAGGAAGTCATCAGCATTTATGAGTAGGAGACTTATTTCCACTCCTGTAAATGACCATATATACCGCTGTGCATTTTCACAGGACTTAAAGATGTAAGCTATGAAGGGCTTGTATACTTTTTCAGGATTTACTAAAGACCCAAGAGGATTTACTGAGGTTATAAAGTGTAAGTGTGGTTCAACACTGAAATCTGATTGACTTGAAGGCTAAACACTCTAGGGTTTGGATGCTTCTCTGAACCAAATAACAAAGTTGGACAAGATTCACTCATTACTACTCCTATTAATTTTATCACTCTAATCACTTTTACTTTTTCAGCACAAGATTAATTTAATCTCTGTCTTATCCTGATCTGTTTTCTCTTTTTTTGTCTTAGCTCATATTCAGGCATGTCGTGCCCTGATGATTGCTTCCATCCTTTTGGGATTCATAGCTACAGTACTCTCGCTGCTTGGTTTGAAGTGCACAAACATTGGGTTGAGCGATGAGGATGGAAAAATGAAGTTTGTTGTCACAGGAGGATTTCTCTTTATTTTAGGAGGTAATATCGAGGCTGAAATAAGAATGCCATCAATACTTTGTATTGCTTTTACAGCAAGACTAAATGAAATGAACGCTTGTTCTTGATTTAGAGCTGTTACAGCCATTAAAGGAATCATTTGCCTGTGTGCTTTTTAAACTTTTTCTGGTAGGTCTCTGCTCCATGGTGGCTGTTTCTTGGTATGCTGCGATGGTTACTGCTCAATTTTTTGACCCACTGTATGCTGGAACCAAGTAAGTTAATAGATTGGTCATACCAAACTCCATCATGTGTTACAGACAGCTGCACTAACCTTAGCTGCTTGAGTTTCAGAACCTGGATGGATCTTGTTATCCAGTTCTATAGAGGAAAAATCTGTTTTCGGAGAATCTTTTCACTGCAGACATGTTGGTGGGGAGGGAGGAGAATTCTCTTCTGGAAGGCTTAGTGAGTGTGTGGGGAATATCAGCCCCACACCTGAGGGGGTTTACTCTACTGTGTTTACATTTTCTTCTGAGACTCAGTAAGCGCACATCTCAATGTTATGAAGAAGAAAAGGTAAAAGTCTTAATTTTCTTCAGCATTTAGACCAAAAGACGTACAAAATTCTAGCTATGGCTAGAATACAGTGCCTTAGATGTACAAGCAAATGAAAAAAAGTACAGCAACCAGCTTGAACTGTGTACTGGTGACCTGCAGATAGCTGAGGAATATCATTAAAGTGTGCTGCTTGGCTTAAAGAAGTAAAAAAATATTTTTCACTATATATTAACAGCTCAAAATTTGTCTTGTGAATTAAAATGAAGCAAAGTTTGCAGGACTATTAGATCATACAGTTGTGTGCAAACAAGTTTTGAGGTATAAAAGCCCTTATTCTTGTCTGATATAAAAGCAACAGTCTTCAGAACTAAATGCCCACTTATGGCACCTTATCTAGGTCAATAGATTTAGCAATGAGGAACAAGGGTAGAGGTGACTGGGCTTCTCCTTCAGCAAGGGGGAAAAAGGATGAGGGAAACATAATATATTGCCTATGGAACATGAGAGAGCCGGTTTGGGGAAAAGGGGACATTTATCATTTGCCAGTACCTCTACTGAGTACATAATTTTTAGATCAATAAACTATAAATCTTCAGTTGCTAGGAACATATTTGAAGTGTTTTGTAAGTTTCCTCCAGAGAATCAGTTTAGGGAAGTCAGAGGTGAAGTGCTTTGTTATGAACCAAAGTACTTTAAGCAATTGCTTTGGATGTTTGTCAGTTTTCCTTGTGTTTTCAAACAAGCCCTTGCAAAGAAATGGCACTTGTGAATACTTTTTTGTTTTATATCCCCTTGAGAGAATGATATGAAGGGTAATAAATACGTTAGAGGACAGAAACAACTGTTGATAAGGAATGTCAGTTAGTGGGATAGTTAGCAAGTTTTATAGTTATCTGGTGCAGCTTTGGGGCTTCAACATCAATGCACGTTAATCAGTTACCAGATTGTTTGTATTCAGTAGCTAAAGACATCTTTTTTTTTTTTTTAATATCTAAACTTCAATTTATTGATAATGACTATCGATTCACTAAGTAGTTCTGAGTTAACTTTGATCATTGTTAAAGCCAGACATGATTTTGAGGAAGTTTGTTCTACTTGGACTCTGTGAGACTGGTTTAAATTCAATTGCAGGCCAGTATTGATCTTCACTCTTTAAGAGAGTGGCAAATCTGTTTTTTCAGATTGCATCTTCAGTAAATTAGGAAAGTTAACCCCTACTAATTCTTAGAGGAATTTCTCATACAGCTGTGAAGGCAATCTCCTGCAGACCCTTCCTATATGCTTTCCTTCAGTATGACATCTCAGCATCCTGTCTATAGGTGACTAGTGATCAGAGACGCTTGCATGCACTGGGCAACACTCTCTGATTGTTCCTTAGTATTCCTTCAACAACTTGCACTCCTGTTTTTTTGAGATAATGTTTGTCTCCTTGTACCATGTTTGGAAAGCACCTAAAACAGCAGAGACCTTGTGGCTCCAGTGTGCAATGAGAACTGTGTAAACCTCTGAAACCTTCCTGTTAGCATTATTTCTGGAGTCAGAAACTTTGACACTTTCAAACAATGATTTTATGTTTACAAGTGGAAAGAAAACACACATATCTGATTTCAGTATACCTTCTATGTACTCCATGATGTGGGAAAGAAGCAATACCATGACACTTATTTTATCCTTATATTGGGTATCACAGACCACAGAGGTACAGCCATATTGTGGTATAGTCTTTGTCCAAATATAAAACATCATTTTTGTCTTTTTGTGAAACTCCTGCCAGGCTTTCCCAGGCTTAGTTGTGTCTAGTCTTTGTGTCAAATTCATTATCAGTGAATTTCTTGTTTCCTGAAAGGTGTAGTTTTGTACAGTAAAATGGGGAACTATTCTTTTTCAACCTGGGACTATTCATAAATGTATTTCAGCCATATAACCACAGAGAGTGCTGAATATTCTTTAGGATAAGTTTGAAAACTAGGCCTATACAAATAACTACTTGTAGGTGATCTAGTCTCATGTCCGTAGCAAACGGGTTTCTGTGGTTAGCCTTTTCTCATGACACTGACAGTAAGGTCTGAATCATTCACAAAATTACTCTGGTTGCACTGCCAATCCAAGGGTGAAATAAGTGTTGTGGACTTCAAAAAAGGTGTATTAATATTATTTATTATCAAGAATTTATTAAATATACTCGTGTTATTGCTACTTGTCTTTACGTTGCTTAGTACTTTCCGTACTGCCACTTATTTGGCAGAGCACTTAAATGTGAGTTTTACTGAACAGACACAAAGCCAGATCTGTTCTCCTATTACCTGTTGAAGGACCTTTCAGTTAGCTAACTTGTATGCAGACTAGACTTTGCTTGTTTGTGTTATTTGTGCACCTTATGGCTGAGTTTAAAATAATGGCTTTGTGATCCTGTTATATGCTGTTTCCATAAAACCTTTCACGTTGCAGGTATGAACTAGGAGATGCCCTGTATTTAGGCTGGGCTGGATCTGTTCTTTATATGCTTGGTGGGATCTTATTGACCTGTTCTTGCAAAGGGAAGAAAAAGCAGGATTACAGGTAATCTCAGATTTGTCAATTGAAATAGTAGCTGTCAGTTACATACCATTTTCTATCTGTATGCTCTTCTCTCTCTCTCAGCCCCTGATATCATATAAATCTGTAGCCATATAAAGTACAAACAAAAAATTGTAGCTATGAATTCAGTGCTATGGCATGTCACAGACTTGTGATGGTAGGGGTGCTGTACCAAATACTTGTACCTCCCAGATAGTGTACCTGTTGATACTTTGCCATCAGCAGTCACCTGTAGCTAGTATTTGGTAATTCTGGATACTGCTGATGGTTCTAAGATCTACATGATGAAAATGTGCAGTGAAAGAGCAAACTATCTATTGCCAAAAGAAAAACATATCGAAGAATATAGTGTATTATAATCAAGTTTCTCTGCAATAGTACTATTAAAATATTCAAATGCCATTCAATTTGCAGAAAGTGTAATGGCATTTTCTTTCGATCATTAATTGATCATTAGATGCATATGATTTTTTTTCTTGTTCTTTATGGAAATGTCTTGTTTGTGCATCAAATCAGAAAAGTTGGGATTTCTAGCCTCAATATTTAATCTTGCCTGGATTTTTTTTTCAATCTTAAATTATTCACACATACAGAAGGTCCCCTTTCTGAAGCGGAGGGATGAAATTGTCAGAAATAGCAAAGGCGTGTCTACCCAGAAGAACCCAAATGGCTTGGAGGCTGTACTAGCTAAGCTTGAGAGGCTGATAGTGTGGAAGGAAGAAGCATGGTCACTGCTGCTGCATTTACTCTTAGGAAAGTTATGTCAAAACATATAATGAGTGAGAGTGTTCCTCTGATACTCCATTCCCTAATCTGAAGCCATTTAAGTTTTATGGTAATATTTCATCAGCCACATTGGACTTCAGATCTCGCTTACCACACTTTGATACAAAGTACCAAATATCCTGAAATGTCTTGAAAATCAGGTAAAACTGATGTATGAAACAGAAGTTCAACATGATGAATAACAGCTAAAGGGGCTGGCTGGCTTGAAGATACTTTTGTTTTCCTTTCTCATCATCTTGATTCCTGTATTAAAAGCTGCAGCTTGCACAAAGGCATTAAGGTCTAGGTTCTCTTTTGCTTTAGGGACTTGGCTAAAATGTCTTTAGGAAGAGCACATGTGAATCAGCAATCCAGAGAGCATTTCTGGTTATGAGAGAGATGGCTGTGCTGCCTGTCAAAGAGCACAGCTTTTTCCCCTTGGCTACAAGACTGATGAGAACAATAGGCCTCTAATTTCTGCACCTCTGTGAAATATGTGCTATTGGTGGGTTGGATACAGACCTAAAGTAGCTGAAACTGTGGATGTGTGTGTAGTATCTATTACTTTGTATCTTTTTTTTCTCAATTTACAGCTGCAACAAATATGCATATTCAGCAGGCCAAGCAGCTCATCAGCAGCACTTATACGGCAAAAACTCTGAGACAGTCATAAGCAACAAGGAGTATGTCTAAATTTACCTTTTACATCACTTGCAATGTTAGGTTATGAACTCAAAGAAGTAGACTACTTCCAGGGTTCCAGTTCCAAATTGCAATCTTTCATGTTAATGTGGAGCAGTACAAGGAGGAGGTACAGTTTTCAATGTAAATAGGAATGGTTTTCAGGGAATAGCTTTCAGAAATGTAAATATTTTTACAGAAAATACTGTGATGTGAAATCCTGCAGCATGAAGGTTTTCTGCATGCTAAGAAGCCTGGTAAAATTTAACCACAGAGTGCAGTGTATCCTGACAATCAAGAACAACTGTTTCTATTTCAGCTGACTCAAAAATGCGGAACTGATATGCTGAAGCTGACTGCAAGTTAATATGCCTCAGTTAGAAATGTATTGTATTTTCATTAATGTTTCGCTTCCTACTTTTGTTTAGCAGCTTTAGCTTTGGATGGGAAATAAACCTTATTCCACAGACTGACTGTGAGATTTTTTGATGAGTGATATCCTGGCCATTAATAAGGATAAGTCTATAGATATATTGTGGGCTTGAAGTCATACGTTATAGTGAAATTCATGTTATATGTGATACTCAAGATTTATAAAAGCTACTACAAATGTCCTAACTACCACTCACCTCCAAATCTGCAGATGTGCAACAAATTTCTTGTTGGTTGTAATGCAGATACCAAAGATAAATGACAGAATGAACCAAACACAGATGGGAGTGGAGAAAGCATCTGGTGCAAAAATGCCTTGTGATAACTAAGAAGATGATAGCCCCAATTTTTAATTTTTATTTCTATGGTTTCAGCTTTTAAAATAATCCTGTTTTAACTCTGAGCAATCTTTAACTTTGGGAACTTCTACTGCATCTGAATTGCCTAATTCATGTAATTCCCTAGTAGCTTTATTCTCTGTCATTTTTCCATCTTTAGAATTTCTGCCTGGAACTACTCCACTGCTGGGAGCATATGTTTGCCTTGTGTAAGCACTTAGATGACAATGAGCTAACTTTACTTTGTATTGATGCTTTGAGCAACATGGAATGGAATTTCACACTGCAGGTTCACAGATTTCTTAACTTGTCCCTTTTAAATTACAAATGTGTCAATACACTTCAACAAAATACCTTGGTGTTTCTCTCTGCTTTTAACGTCTTATGATAAACACACTTGTAATCTGATTTGGAAGTTTCATGCAACTTCCTTGATATCCCAGCAGATAATTTCACAGGGCAACCTGCAAGCAGTCTTAGCAGAAATGATTTGGTCATGCTGCTTGCATGCAGATACAAGGCATGAGTTGGGCACTGATAAATCTTGTTAGGCTTAGTAAGTAAAGCTAAAAAGTGTTAGGATTACTTCTAGATTGCCATGTCATCTTCTCTCCACTATCAACTATTGTTTTAAAAATCATTCCTTTGGTATTTTGGAAATAATTTCCAAAGCTTAACTTGCATGGTGGGAGCTGAACTCCTTACCACCATCTGTATATTCTGTCCTCTGGATTTTTAGGTAATTTTGTGATGGTATTTTGTCTAGTTCAATGTAAGGTAGAGACAAAGCAGTTCCAGTGTCAGTTTCCCAACAAAGGCTGTGTCAGCTCATGAACATGAATTCTGATCCAGCAGGTGAGATAGAAATTCAGAGCTTCCTTGGTCTGGCATCAGGTTGTCTAGTGATGTCACGGGGAAGCTTAATTAAAAACCAAGAGTACAATCCCTACGTACTAACTTGTTTGTTCAATACATTGTTATCATACTCAGTGTCATCCAGGGGAAGATAACATGTTATTTCTCTGGCTTGTTTGCAGTCCTCCCAACCCTTTTCTGGTTTTGCTCTTTCTCCCTGATTATCTGCCCCTTTCCCATGCACTTCAATGGTAATGCTCTGAGTGAATTTAACGAACCAGCAACTCAGTTTGGGGAGTAAGGCATTTTATGAATAGGTGATATAGGAAGTGATATTTTTTTTCTTAAATTGGTAGCAAGCCATTTAACTCTCTTTACAAACAGCTTCACACATTGCTATTTTTAAGTTCTTTGCTCATCAGAGCAGACTGCTCTGGTATCTTCAAATCTTCTTCATATCTCTGCAGCTGAGACCAAAATCCTGCATTGGGTTCTGCTACTGGTCTGGCAGCCTTCACAACCTAGGAAAAAGGAGAGGCACGGTAAAAGCAAGGGTGGGTATCAGCCAAGTGGGTTTTTTTCCTCTTACACTTTTGAGAAGATTTACTTTGGTTTTGATTTGGCTATGGAATAACAAACAGGTATTTTGGTGAGCTGACCTCACCCTGTGCTTGCTAAGACCTCCTGGCATGTGGCTCCCATTACAGAATGGATTCATGGGTGAGACATGGAAAGGAGCTGTTGAATTTCCTGGAAATGTGAATGTCTCTCACAAGCGTGGTGACGCTGCTCGTGTTCGAGACAGCGTGAAACTTGATTGCGTATCTGCATGCCTCTGTCTAGTGCTGAGCAAAACCATTATCTAAATTAGAGACTTCGTGATACACTTACCAAATGGGTGAAGCCTAAAACACCGTAGAGCAGGAGTCGTATGTACTGCAACGGCTTCCTAATAAGGCTGAGCTGCTATTACTTATATCTACCTAGTCCCTGACTATTTAGCAGCCCTAACAGATGCTTCTTTGCTGTGTTGAGCTATGCCTCACAGGCAATAAAAGCAAATCCTGCAAAACACCTGCTGTGCACACTTTCATCCATTTCACTCATTTGCTTTATGTCTCCATCTTTAACTTCACTATCACGACTAAGCAAATGCCTGGGAAAATGTTCACAAGACAACCAACTCTGAATATCTGCTACCAGGGCTTAAAGCCTATTTGCAGTTTTAATTACATTTGTCCCAGAAACTTCATACTGAAAGCTTAGTTGTCCAAGCTGGGAGTGAAAAAACTTACAGTGGAATTTTTATTCATATGCTGAATATCTGTGTAACCGCTAATTAAACAGGTGAGAGCACCAAAATAATTCACTGAGAATCATCGTTGCTCATAATAAGCACTGCATTTCTTACCCCAAAGATGTCTAAATATAAATCTGGGTACACGTACAATACCTCAAATGCATCCTTGAGCGGGAGCTTTCGGTGTCTCATCAGATACGCGGTGCAAATGGCAGCGGAGCGGCTGCGGCCGTTTTTACAGTAAACCAAGCACTTCCCCCCGCTCCTCACGGCCTCCTCGATGGCGGCTCCGCACGCCTCGAAGTGCCGGTACAGGTCTTCAGCCGGGTCATCGAACACGGCGACGCGCAGGCCGCGCACCTGCCGCAGGCCGGGGAACGGCTGCTGCCTGGTGACATTAAGGCAGAAGGTGACGCCCTCTCGCAGCAGCAGCTCCTCGCTGCAGGCGGCCCTGGCGTTGCCGATGAGCAGCGAGGGGGTGACCTTGCCGACCTGGAGCATCGGCAGCCCAGGCGCGGCACAGCCCCGGGGCTCGGGCTGCTCCCCGCGGCCGTGCGCTGCC